GGGGTGCTGCGACTGAGGGTGCTGAGCCTGGGGGTGCTGAGCCTAGGGGTGCTACGACTGGGGGTGGTGAGCCTGGGGGTCCTTCGCCTGGGGGTGCTGCGTCTGGAGCTGCTGAGCCTGGGGGTGCTGACTTTGGAGCTACTGAGCCTGGGGGTGCGGAGCGCGCGGCCGCTGGACCTGCTCATGTGGCGTCTGGCGGTGCTGGGCCTGGTGGTTCTCCGGGTGCTTCGTCTCGGCGGGAGCCACTCTCTCCACAGGAGCTGCGCGAGTGGTTTGCCCAGCGCTGGAGGCGTACTACTGGAGCTGGTGCTTCTTCGGCTGCTGAGGGTACTGGTGCCGCCGGTCTCGGAGGTGCTAGTCCAGCGAGTGCTAATGGAGTCGGAGCTGCTGAGGGTGTTGGCGCTGAGGCTACTGTTGTCAGTCCTGACGGCGGTCCTGCTGCAGGTGCTGCTGGAGGTACTGGAGCTGGAGGTGCTGTTGACGCTAGTGCTGCCGCTGGGGGTGCTGGTGCTGTCCCTACTGTGTCTAGAGTCGCCGCGCGGCCTCGGCCGTACTTTGTTCCGCTCCTTCAGCAGGTTCTTGGTCTTCCTCCTCCCTTTGAGTGTCCACCGCCTGTCCAGTCGCAGTCACAGTTACCGCCGGCCTCCCCACTGCCTTCTCCTTCTACGTACACTGGTCCTACTAGAGGTCTTGCTGAGCGTCCTGAGCCTGCGTCTCGTCCTGCGTCGCCTGTTTGTGCTGCTCGCACTAGTGGTCGCAGTTCGCGTCAGCGTCTTCCTCCTATCCCTGGCATGCACCGGATGTCTCTGCGTCCGTCCACTGCTCCTCTGCGTGCCCCTTTGCCCTCTCCTCCTGAGTCCTCTCTTCCTGCGCTTGCCGACCCTGAGTCGGACTCTCTTTGTGCTGCCAGTCCTACTGTCACGCGTCTCCTTGCTACTGTCCTCAGTGACCCCTCCTTTGAGTCCACTGCTGCGTCTTATCTTGTTGCTGAGCTCATCGACTTTGCTGCTCACTGTCGTCTAGACTACGCTGCTAATCTTGTTGCTGAGTGTGCGTCTGTCTGTCCTCCGTCCGTCGGGGGTGAGAGTGCCCTTGGCACGGACGTCCTTGAGGACAGGCAGGAGGAGTTCCAGTATCTGGCTGCTGCTTCACCTCATCTTACGTCCGTACTGCTTACCCCTGAGGGAGACCCGGATGCACTATACATCCCGACTCCGCGCTCTTACGCGGAGGCCATAGAGGGTACCTACTCCTCTCACTGGCAGGCAGCTATGGATGCAGAGATGGCTTTCTGGAAGTTCACAGGCACCTACGTTGACGCGGTTCCCCCTCCTGGGGCAAACATCCTCAGTGGCATGTGGATCTTCAGGGTGAAGCGGCTGCCGAGCTCTCCACCTGTCTTCAAGGCGCGGTACGTGGCTCGTGGCTTCAGTCAGTGGCAGGGAGTTGACTACTTTCAGACCTTCTCTCCCACCCCGAAGATGACCACTCTTCGGGTGCTGCTACACGTAGCCGCTCAGCGTGACTACGAGCTTCACTCCCTTGACTTCAGCACTGCTTTCTTGCACGAGGAGATTTGGTTGCGCCGTCCACCTGGCTTCACTGGGACTTTCCCTCCTAACACCCAATGGAGCCTCCGACGGCCAGTCTACGGTCTCCGCCAGGCACCGCGCGAGTGGCACGACACACTGAGGACTACGCTTGCGGCTATTGGGTTTGCTCCCTCTACTGCTGACCCGTCGCTGTTTCTACGCACCGACACCTCTCTACCGCCGTTCTACATCCTTGTGTACGTCGACGACTTGGTCTTTGCCACGGCTGACACTGCTGGACTTGCCCACGTGAAGTCCGAGCTGCAGAAGAGACACAGGTGCACAGACCTGGGTGAACTGCGCAGCTACCTTGGCTTGCAGATCACCTGGGACAGAGCACGCCGCACCATTACCCTGACTCAGTCACACATGGTGCAGCAGGTCCTTCAGCGCTTCGGCTTCACGTACTCCTCGCCTCAGGCCACTCCTCTGTCTACTCGCCACTCGCTCTCAGCCCTGCCTTTGGATGAGTCCGTAGAGCAGAGTGGACTGGTCAACCCCCGCATCCTGCAGGTCAGCACCACTCACCAAGTTCGTAGAGAACAAGGGGAGGTAAAGAGTAGACAAGGTGCCAGAGGGGGCAGCCGGACACGGGAGGACAGTGGAGAAGTGAGAGAGGACAGGACCCCCAGAGGGGTCTGCCAGGGAGACTACAACCGGCCGACCAAGCGGCGTGAGTGTGGTGCGGTCTCGAAAGAAGGAGCGAGAAGCCCCTGAGTCAAGTGTGAAGGTGAGGGAGGCCGAAGCCGACGTGGTACCTGAGGGCGCAGACTCACCAGCACCTGAGGGCGCGGACGCACTAGCACCTAGAGCAGCAGCCTCACCAGTACCTTCAGCAGCAGTACCAATGCCCGGGTCGGGCGGGAAACACCGGTAACAGTCACCCTCATCACTAATAGTCACAGCATACATGGCAGCAAGGATAGCATCAAAGTCAAGATCAAAGATAGCTACGCCTGCCCTAGACAGCTCTCCCCAGCGGGGGATCTCACTAGCCTCCGGGAACTGCTGACGCCAAGCGTCCGTCAGGCGGCCAAAGCAGCGCTGGGTGGGGTGAGCACCCCCACACTGCTCAGCCGCGCAGTCGCCGGAGCGGAGGACGTAGGTGCACGGGCCAAAACCCCCACCACGCTGACGCTGCGTGTACCACTCACGGAGCTGGTGAGGAGGGGGGATGTCCCGAGAACGCTGCTGCTGCTGCTGGCGCTGACCACTCCCGGAGCCGCTCCGCTGAGAAGCACCATCCCGACCAGCTCCACCTCCTCCACCACCGCCGCCTCCACCTCCGCCGCCACCGCCGCCTCCGCTCCCACCGCTACCGCCACTGCCGCCTCCGCCTCCGCCGCTGCCACCGCCACCTCCACCCCCGCCACCAGTCCCACCGCTACCCCCACTCCCCCCGCCGCCCCCACCGCCACCTCCACCATCCCCGCTAGCCCCCCTTGCCCTTGCCCCCCTTGCCCTTGCCAGAGCGGCGTCTCCCGCTAGGGGCAGACGCCGCACCGACCGACTCAAGACCAACAAGGTCGGCCGCAGCAGCAGAGGCGACAGAGGGCAACAGGGGGAAAGGGGAACACCCCTCAAAGATGGGGGTGCGAGGGTCACCACGAGAGGCTCCTACAGCGACTATGCTCTTCTCCGCCGCTAGGAGGGCCTTCTCTAGGAGGTCAACAGTGAGAGTGGTGGGACAGGCTGAGAGGAAGTGGTCCCTGACTACACGAAGGGAGTCAGGGAGGCGGGTGACTATATAATAGAGAGTGATGTACATGGGGGGGGGGGTTCTTGGCGCAGAACTCAGCCGGTAGCGCGGCGCGGTAGCGAGTGTCACTAGTGCGGAGGTGCGTAATGAGGTCAGCGACTGTGGGAAAGGCACCAAGGTCAGGAAAGAGGTACGGTAGCATGAGGCGGCTTAGTGCAGCAGTGGTAGGGGAGGAGTAGCGTGCAACGACAGCGTCGTACAAGGTCTGAGCACTCTTGTACTGGCTAAAGTGCGCGCGCTCAGTGGTAGGCAGGTGGCGACGCACAGCAAGACGTGCAGCAGCATCTCGAGTGGCCCATTGGGTGCGAACAGTGGCGTCGGCATCGGCAGCAGGGGCTGGGGAAGCACTAGAGGTGAGGTCAAAGAGGGAAAGACCGTCTGCCCTATCGCACTGTAGGAAAAGCTGCAGGTCATCCACCCAAACTTCAAAGTCAATGGCTCGACCCTCAGCGTCAAAAGCGAGAACACTGGGGGTAGCCATGACAACAGTGGACTAGCAGTACCAACTGTAGGACAGGGGCAGTGCAGTGATAGAAGCGGTGCTCTAACAAGGCAGGGTGGGTCGGGCAGCTCAGCGGTACAGCAGCACGGCAACACGGCTGCTCGGACGGCACTGCAGCAACTGCGGCTCCGTGGCACCAGCGGCTCGGCTCCTCAGGCGGCTCGAGCGGCTCAGGCAGCTTGGGTGGCTCGGGCGGCTCGGGCGGCTTGGGCGGCTCGGGCTGGTCGGGCGGCTCGAGCGGCTCAGGAGAGTCGGGCGGCTCGGGCAGCTCGGGCAGCTCGGGCGGCTCGGGAGGCTCGGGCGGTTCGGGCGGCTCAGGCTGCGCGGGCGGTGTAGGGCGGCAGGGCCGCTAGTGCGAGGGGCGGCTGGGCCACTGAGAAGGGCGACGAGGCCGCTGCGGAAGGGCGGCGGGGCCACTGAGTAGGGCGGCGGGGCCGCTGAGTAGGGGCGGGGCCGCAGCGACGGGCGGCGAGGCCGTGGAGACGGGCGGAAGGGCCGCGATGCGGGGCGACGGGGCCGCTGTGACGGGCGGCGGGGCCGAAACGAAGGGCGGCAGGGCCGCTAGGGGAAGGGGCCGCTAGGGCGTGGGGGGGGGGGGCGCTAGGGCGGCTCGGCGAGGTGAGAGCCCGGAGCGCGACTCGAGCGAAGCGCGCTTCGGGCAGGAAAAAAATAATTGAAACTCGATGTGGTGTGCCCTAGGCACAGTTCCCAAGGGGGAACCTGCTCGATACCATGAGGAACGTAGAACGAGAATGAATGACTAAGGAATGGAAGTGATACAAATATGCAACCCTAGAAATGTGTACCCCATATGGGCTACCCCACTATAGCCTACACAATATTATAATTTGACAACATAGATTGGACGCTGTGCGCGGTCGGAGCCACACTGCTATGGCTGCACTAGGTGTACGACTTGGTTCCCATCCTGTACGAGGACATAGCCCCCTCTCTCGACTTCACGGAACCCTCGACGTGGTACGATCAATACCTGTTCTTCCCCCTTAGCGCGGGCAACGAGAAGAAAATACCGCCCACGACTCATCACGACTAGGCGGCGAAGATTCTCCAGGACGCAGGAATCACATGCTCGCGTGCGGTACACGCGACGAGGGCTGGGGGGGCGCAGGACGCGTCCGCGGACGGAATGCCTTCGGATCAGCCGGCGAGGCTGGGGGGTTGGCGCTTCATCGACGTGATGACTAAGCACTACCTCACAACCATTCCGAGGGAGGCCGTGCTGCTGAAGGCGGGCTTCACCGGGGTTGACGGTGACTACTTCCTGGGTCGCGTAACTGTTCCGGTCAGTGATAAGCTGGATGAGCTACTCAGGAAGCACATTTTCCCATGGGCCGCCGCGGACAAAGGACAGCAACAGGTATGTGTGGGCCGCGCATACACGACCGCGAGCATCCCACATAATACTATGGCACCGCGTTCACTACCTCGTTGTTTTATTGTCACAGTGCAAGGATTACAACCGCAGGATGGTGAAGAAGCAGAAGCCGGAGAAGCAGGACACCGCGATGCTTAACATTCTGAAGGAGCTGGATGAAGACGCTAGGATGGCGGTCGCGCAAGACCTGGCGATGTATTACATCCACCAGCCGCGACACCCGTACGTGGTCAACAACCCGCTCTGCCAGACGGAGGAATTTGCGTCGTGGGCTGCAGATGTCTCATTGGCAAATCAACTTGCCATAGTACAGCGCAACACACCTACACTGACCCAGCCCGCAGTAAGTACTGCATGGTCGCGTTATCTTTCTTCTGTGATGTCAATGCCAAACCATAACAAGTTCGCGGTCCCTTTTTGTCCATGCAGGAGGTGAGTACCAGAATGGACGCGCAGAACCAAGTGACCGTCCTCACTGAGTACTTGACTCGTTCACAAGCGGACAACACCAGACTGGGCCTCGAGTTGGTCGCGACTCATAAACGGGTGAAAGAGCTGGAGGGGCTGCTGGAGGATCGCGATCGGAAGCTGGCCGTGAAGGACTAGCGCGTGAATGATTTGGAGGCCCAGCTGTCGCGGCTCACCGTGAGCAGCTCCCGGCCGACCGCGGTTCCGAACTAGGCAACCACTCCTGGAGCCGCGGCTGCGCCGACCAATACCACAACTCCCACCGAGCAGGGGACGCGGAAGAAACCCGCACCGCCCACCAGGGAACAGACGATTCGGGACGCGATCGTCCTTCCATCGGTCAACGCCACCAAACCGTCAGACGGATGGAAGCTGTACAAGACAACACACCCGCTGATCCTCGAGAGTCCAAAGTCGCTTCTGGCCCAGCCCCGCGGCGCAGTTACGGGAATGGCCGCGCTCATTGGGGAGGAGGGAGGCGGCCATAACGCGATAAACCGTGTCAAGCGAATCATGAACTTCATCGCCCACAGGGTGGATCAAGGAGACGACATCGCGGTAGTGCTCGACAAGCTCGACCTCATGTCAGGTGCTGTGGGCATGTCGGGTGTATCGGAAGGGATCGCGGTAAAGAAGAAGAGTGTTGACCTGGAACTGAGCCAGCTCAAGAAGGGTTCTCCGGTGGAGGTGCAGTTGCGTGTGAAATGGATGCTTGTTCGCGAACGTCTCATCAATGCCTCTCGTCCCGCTTCTGAGTTCACGGTCGCGTGGCCCCAGTACTGTGCGCTGATGCCAGACTTGCAGTAAATGGATTGACCCCGCTGTTGTTCATCTTGATATCACCGTCTTCGGGTGCGATGTTATGGGTCCCTATAATCGACCGCGAGTGTTATTGTTTTGCGCGAAGATAGTGCTAATTTACATCGTGGCCGTGGTGATCGCGGGCTGTTGTTGCCTAATGTACATAGATTGTTCGCGCCGTAGTGTGTACAATGATAATGTGTGGGAATACCTGAGACGAATGCAGATTACTACTAAATTGGCACACGCACAAACACACGCACCCACTGAATCCTACAAACCTTCACATATTGTTCCAAATGTCAACACTAGGTTCTCACGCGCGCGCGCGCGCGCGCACACACACACACACACACACACGATATACTACATGCACCAGCACAATCCACCGCGAGTAGAACTCAAGCATGGCGGACAAGCTGTGCACATGCTACGCGATACTACACGCACTCAAGTCCGCTTCTTCAGACGATCCTTGGGCAGGGCAAGGTACAAACCCAAGGACTCCATCTGCTTCCCTACCACCGAGCAGTCGCACCAGGTGATGATAACGTCCACCGTTTTGCGGGCGGCCAACTCAATATGCATGAGATCGCGAGACTTTGCAACGACCTCGTTCACGACTCCGGACACGATCGCGGCGGCGACCGCCTTCGGGTCCGCGACAACCTGTGGCTCATCTTCCTCGCGGCGATTGCGCTTTCGCACCGCATTGATGACGTACGCGGATACTACGGGGAAGAGACGGCTTCGCTCTCCATAGCAACCAGCAGCACGCGCGGCCAGGTTTCCATTATCCGCTGCGGCAGTGACGTTAGAACCGCGAGTGACCTCCCACACCATTGCAATGGCGCATGCGATCGCTCCCGCGTAGTCCGTCGGCTCCACATCGCCGAGATCCGCTTCTTCTGCTGCAGCCTCCTTGCCTACCACCGCGGCCCATGCAATCACGTTGGTGGTGTGCATTCCGGGCTTGGTTAGCCCGCGATAGGAATCGAACATGCGCTGCCACCTGCCACGCAGTGGGTTGGAGAGGCCAGAACATGATAACATACCAAACCGTATGAACGCACTAGATGATGGTGGATTGGCACAGCTCACCTGTCCTTGCTTGCCACGAGGTTGCGGTAGTGCATGGTGATTAAGAGGCCCGTATGTAACCTCTCGGCGATGGACAGGTTCGCGGCCCATTCTCGGATCTGCTGCTGGCTCAGGTTCAGCCCGGGGTCGACCTTCCCGTCGTAGGGATACATCGCGATCGCGGTCTTGTACTGCAGGTCTTGGCGGTCGCCGTGTCCGAGCCATCGCTTCTTCCCCCCCAGATGGGGTTCAGAAACCAATACGGGCCCGCCCCTGGGTGGAGCGCGGATGCCGCAGCCCTTGCGCTTGGGGCCGGTGTCACCATGTCCTCCCGTTGTGCCACCTTTCACGATCACGGGGTCTCCGTCTTGCTCGTCCGCGCTCTCCCCGCCACTATAAACATCGACCGCAGCCTCCCCACCCTGCTCTCCTCTGTCGCCCGCCTCGACCCACCTGCTCACGAGACCCTCCAGCTCCTCATCCGCATCGTCCTCGTCGATCGTGTACACGGGTGGAGTGGGCAACTTCTTGCCACCCCGTCCGCGTTTCTCCGCCTTGACCTCGATCGAGGCCGCGATAGGACTTGCAGATGCCAGTGCGCTGTGCAAATTTCCCGCGGTGATTGCAGCACGAGCGGGTGCGAGCGTGATCTGCCTGCCCTCTGCCGCAGCAGCCGCTGCAGACTAGACCTCATGCCTCAAGGCCAGCGAACCCGCAGCAGCCGGCGCCTCTCCATCCTCCGCCTTACCCTTGCCCCGACCCACAGTACTTGTCACTATCGCGGTTGCCCCGGCAGGGCCCGGTGGTTTGGGTGCAGCTTCTCCAGGTGGGATGGAGCGCAAGCTCGAACCCGGTTGACCAGGCGGTGCTGCACCTCGCGATGCAGCGCCCCACTTCTGCTTCAGCATGTCCTGCACGCTCGGATTGCGCACCCTCACGCGCAACAGCGCGGTCAGCCTCATCGCGGGTTGCACCCTTAGTCGCGGTATCCTCACCCCCTTCGTCATCAGCGTGGACCACCGTCCCCCCCCCCCGAGCACCTCCGCGGTTCGAAACACCAGCGGCACGTGTGAGAGCGAGAACACCATGGTCAGCAACATGCGCACCCGTAGCCACTTTCTGCACCTTCCCCGTTTCAGCACCTTCAGCCTCACCGCCGCGCTTGGGTCGCGTCAAATCCACGCTCAAGTTGAATGCAAGCTCTTTGGCGGTTTGGTACGCCTCATGCCGCAGTGCATTCAGAGTCTTCATGGTTGGCCTCGAGAATTGCGGCCCGGATCCACTGGCAGCGACCGCGTCCAACTGGGCAAGGATCTTGTCGAACGCGAACAGACAAGCGAGATTGCCCCAGGAGCCTTTCAATGACGTCGCGTCCTGGAAAACATTACATGGGGTTTGTTAGCACCACTGCAACTATTGGCGGTCATCGAGAACACGTACACAACACAGAATGGTGGGAGCGGGTGCACTGAATGGAGCCGCGCGCAAAATCCTCGTCAACGCGACCCTGAAACCACCTACTCAAAAGCACATACATATCCACGCGAATGCACGGTTAGCGACATGAGCCTCGAAGCGGAAATGAACGTGGTACTGATGATAAACCAGTACGCGGTACTCACTCCACAATCGCATCCGCCGCGGTGACGTGTTCCGCACCACCAGTGGGAATAGCAACGCGAACGAACCGCGTGTTCCACGTTTCGTCACCGTCAAGCGACAGGTGGTCGGGGTGAAGCCGAATGAGCATGCTCGTGTTTGAGCGCTTCTTGTCGAACAAGTCCCTGAACGTGCCATTGACGACCGCGTTAAACCACGTAAACGAGTGCATTCCCTGTACAAGTGAACACTCCCAATGAACACTCACTCGGACCAGATGTAGAAAACCACCAGGCTGCACTCCATCAAACCAGCAAAGGCTTGGACCGCTTCATCGCGACCCGCGACTATGTCCGCGACAACACCGCTCGTCACGATTCGGACGTGCTCATGCACCTCCTTCTCCAGATACCTCCGGACAATCACGCTGTGCGGGACGGTGTAAAACACGGCGGGGAAAAGCTCAACCATAAACAACGCGACCTTAAAGCACAACGGAGGTATGCCGCTATCCCTGCCTTCCTTGTTGTTGACGCTTTACCTGCCCCTGCTTTCTTCCCAACACTAGTTGCAGGGGCAACAGCAGAAGCAGCACCACCTCTAGCACTAGCAGCAGCACCAGCAGCAGCAGCACTAGCAGCAGCGGTACCCGCCCCTCCCGTCTTGTCCTCTGCCGTTGCTGCTTCACCTGCTGCTGCTGGCAGTGGCAGTGCCGACAAGGCGATATATGGGGGAGGTGGAGCTGGGGTGAGCTTCTTGACAACGTTCATAATCACGTGGTCCATTCGTGCCATATCCCTCACGTCTGCTGCGTTTGGCTTTGCCTCTGATGCTGCTGGCGTGTCAGGGGTTTCAACTGACGTCCCTTTCGACTCTGACCGCTCTGCTGGGGTGACATGAGAAGTGAGGAAGGTGGGAAGAGGATGGAACAACCCTGTTGTTCCTTGTAGTAGCTATGATCCCTGCAGAAACCCATCGTTCCCACCGTGCCCCATACCTTCTTGGCCGGGCAGCTTCGGGATTAGCGCATTAGAGATTGCATGAGAGAGTGTGTGAGAGAGCGCGTGAGAGTGCATGAGAGAGTGCGTAAGAGTGCGTGAGAGAGTGCGTGAGAGAGTGCGTGAGAGAACGCACGAGAGACTTTATGAGCACGCTGGGGCATATGCACTAGCATCTATTAGAGTGCTGGTGCTTGGGCAGCTGGGACTACTTATGCAAACGAGTGTCACTTTTGTCGAGAGTTTAACGAGAGTGTAGAGTTAAGTTGAAAACGAGGGCCTAGGCTTAGGAGCCTAGGCCCGAACTTAGGTGTCGAGTAGGTTTCTCCTAGGGTGAGTATCGAGTGAGTTGGAAGAGAGAAATTGGGAAGAATGGGTTTCACTATAGGTTTCAAGGAACATATAGCATAGGAAACAAAGTTGGTGCACCACCTACAAAGCACAATAACTACACTACAACTACAAGCAGTTATAAAATATGACAAACATATTTCGACACGCCCCCATAATGCTTGTAGGTAGAAATGTAGTTACCCCCCTTAGGGGGTACACCATGCAAAATAATAACAAGCAACAGCAGGTACTGCAGGCAGGCTAACATTGAAGAGTTACCCCCTCCATCTCCTCACCCTCCTCCTTCCCCTCCCCCAGACTGCTGTAGGAGCAGTAGAGAAGGGGGGGAGAGAGGAGAGGTGGAGGGACGGCTGCATGTTGCCTCACACCCGCCACCCCGGTACCACTCCCCCTGCTCCCCCACATCCTCACACCCTCCCCCCCCAGCAGCAGCTGCAGCGGTGGGACTGAAAGAAGGAGGAGGGGAAGGGAGAGAGTTGACCCAACACTCCAACACCCGCCACCCCCATACCCTCCTCCCCACGGCTGCAGGGAGACAAAGGAGGAGGGGGGTGGCCGGGAAGAAAGCCGCAGAGCGGCTAAACGGTGTCGGCGCAGATGGATCAGGGGCGGCTTCAGGGAGAGCAGGGGCGGAAAGGCCCGTCGCGTGCCGGTGCCACGGGGCGCACGACGGGTAGGATAAGAGAAAGGGCCCGATCGTGTGCCTCGGGGCGCACGACGAGCAGGGCACCATCATGTGCCACGGGGCGCACGATGGGCAGGTTTAGGGCACCGTCGCGTGCCACGGGGCGCGCGACGGGCAGAAAAGGCGTCACACGCCAACCGGGGGCGGGACAAGGAAAAATCGTCACGCGCCCTAGGCGCGACACCGGAAAATCTTAGCAGCGGAAGTGTAGGGCGGGCCCACAGGCCAGGACGTAATTCGCTCCGATAACATGTCGAGAGCTTAACGAGAGTGTAGAGTTAAGTTGAAAACGAGGGCCTAGGCTTAGGAGCCTAGGCCCGAACTTAGGTGTCGAGTAGGTTTCTCCTAGGGTGAGTATCGAGTGAGTTGGAAGAGAGAAATTGGGAAGAATGGGTTTCACTATAGGTTTCAAGGAACATATAGCATAGGAAACAAAGTTGGTGCACCACCTACAAAGCACAATAACTACACTACAACTACAAGCAGTTATAAAATATGACAAACATATTTCGACAACTTTCCGCACTAGTGTTTAGTGTGTCGGCTTCTAAGGTGTTTGCTTCTCTGTTTTTGCTGTGTGCAGGCCGTGTGTGTGTTTGCTTCTCTGATTTTGCTGTGTGCAGGCCATGTGTGTGTTTGCTTCTCTGTTTTTGCTGTGTGCAGGCCGTGTGTGTGTTTGCTTCTCTGTTTTTTCTGTGTGCAGGCCGTGTGTGTGTTTGCTTCTCTGTTTTTTGCTATGTGCAGGCCGTGTGTGTGAACTTCTCTGTTTTCACTTTGTGCCGGGCGCGTGAGCTGAGAAGGGAGATGAGGGAGGGAGTGGGAGGGAGATGAGGGAAGGAGGGACGGAGGGGTGTAGGGAGGGTTAAGGGAGATCAAGGTAGCGATAATTTATTAATTGGTGAACTTCATTGGCTATGCTTGCATGCTTAGTATTAGCTGTATGTTTCTGCGTGTTTTTCTCTCTTCGTATGTGTGTGCGTACATGTAGGCTATGTAGTTGTGTGGCTCTGTTTCGGGGTGAGAGCTAAGTGCCTCGTGTATACAATCGCGGTTGTGATCGTTGGTGGGGCAGCTTTGGTTGCCTCTTCCATACCAGATCAATCGCAGTTGCATTAACGATGCATTCTAGCATTAGCTTCGAAGCACTTACAACTGGTGTTTCTCGTTTTTGTACAAGTTCGTGTGCTGTCGTTTGGGTCTGTTTTGGGGTGGTGCTAAATGCATCATGTATGCAACAGGGGTTGTCATCGTCGGTGGGGCAGCTTTGCTAGCCTTTTCGTACCATATCAATCTCAGTTGCAGCATTGATGCATTTAGTGTTTGCCTCTAAATGTTCATGCTTTCAGCATGTGGTTTTTGTGCACGTTCGTGTCCAACCAATTGTTCCATCCGCCGTACTTATCGACGACTATGGAATTATTGGTTACATTTGGTTTCACATTTTTGGGGCAACTAAAAAGTTGAACAGTAAATTTTTCCCAAACGGGCAGGGAAAAATCACTGTTCACGGTCAGTTCCCCAAAAAGTGAAACCAAACGTATAAGGTTGCTACGCAACTCAATAAATCTGTTTTCTTTGTACTGCATGCTATCATTTGGCGACGACGAGAAGGGCGTGTGCGCGGCGTGTGTTGAAGGAACGATGGCTCGGAAGCCATTTGGTAGCCGTGCCTCACCCCTCGCTAAGGACCCGCTTGCGCTTGTTCACATAGACGTGTGTGGACTGATGCGGCATGCATCAAAGGGAGGAGCACGGTTTCTCTTGGTGATGCTCGACGACGCGACGCGGATGTGTTGGACCCGACTCTTGAAGGCTAAGGGCGACGCAGCCAAGGCAATACAAGAGTGGGCGCTCGAAGTTTGCGACGACGATAAGAATCGGATCAAGGGTATTCGCACGGACGGTGGCGGCGAATTCGTGAACAACGAGCTTGATAAATGGATGAAGAGCAAGGGCATAAAGCACGACGTCACGACACCCTACACACCCCAACAAAATGGAGCGGCGGAGCGGCTTAATCGCACCTTGGTTGAAGCCGTTCGTTCACTTCTTCAACACTCCAAGCTTGGGAACGAGTGGTGGGGAGAGGCGAGTGCGCTAGCGGCATGGATTCGTAATCGTTTGCCGACAAAGGTGCTCCCGGGAACGACTCCGTTCGAAGCATGGAGCGGAACAAAGCCGACCCTATCCCGCCTTCACACCTTTGGGTGCCTTTGCTACTACCATGTACCGGATCCTCTTCGCCACAAGTTGCAAACGAAAGCTCGTGCGGCGATCTTCTTGGGAGTTGCGCCAAACGAGCGTGCATGGCGAGTGTGGGACTTGGGTGAAAAACGCGTTGTCACGTCTCGGGATGTGGTCTTCAACGAAGACAAGTTCCCGGCGAAGGAGAAACCAACTCAACAAGTCACCTTCATGTCAAATGTTACATCTGCTACAGTTTGTTTAGGTTGTAGTGGGGTAG